GTCTTTGCCTTTCACTGACTTTGACTTGTCTCTTCTATAATTCCATAAATTGTAGAAAATTGATAGTAATACATATAATTTTTGTCCTTAAAATACAATACAAATTTTGTTCAGTTGAAAGAAAATTTCCACACTCAAAACAATGTGTCCAAATACAACATTACTCTATAGATAGTAACAAGCTTTCATCTATTAACCTCTACTTCAGTATTCCTGTTTGCCTGTAAATGTGTCTTTTATGTCTATTTTCATTTGAACTAATTATAGCATATTACTGGTTTTCTTTTTAATTGAAGAGTTAAATGATGTCTTTGGCACATATTCTTTTTTTGTTTGTGTGAGTCCTAATATTAATTTTAAAAAAATCATTTAACACATAATAACATATCTTTTTTTGATGTTGTTACTTCTGTTACTACTAATGCAACACTCAGCTATGAGAAACCTACAGGATCAACCAAAACCTTAATTTATAGACAGGAATTTTAGGCATGATTTCTGGACTTGTTCAAGGGTACACTCATTCTTATTTTGAGTGTGTGTAGTTGTGAGACCTTTCTTGATTATTTAATTAAATAGAATGGTAAACCCATTAGATGTCATTTCAGATATCCAGCCTAGTAGTTTAAACTGGATGTGGTCTAGTATATCATGAAAGGGAGCATTTACTTTTCTTTATACAAGGAAATAGGAGACATGCTGAGAGTAGTGATGATTCTGCTTGTTCAGCTAATTTCCCACTCCTGTTCAAAGGATGGATAGCTGAGGACCGGCTGAGAACACTACCAATCCATGGCCATCTGAAGGCAGAACAGGATCCTGAACATTGGGATTAATTTGACTCAAAAGTGGCCACAAGTTAGTCCAATGATGTCTACCAGTGTCAAGTTTTAAGCAAGAAAGATATCATCTAAACCTAGTGTAGCAGAAGGACACAGACATTGAAGTTAAGAGGCAGAGAGACATGTTTAATCATGCAATTTAGATTTGATAGAAAATGTGCGGTCAAGTCAGGATAATGTTAGTAAATTTTGAGAAATGGATGTAGGAATTTAGAGACCAGATGATATTGAAAAGATTTGTCAGCTACATAGAAGTGCTAGATGGATGACAATTGGTGCTAGGAGTATAGGTCTTTAGGCTTGCAAAGATGGAGACATTCAATGTGATCACAAAATCCAATAGTCATGGTAGTGAGTGCTGGAGGTGGAGAAAAAGTGAAGGGACCAATGCCCAGCTGGACTTCGGAGGGAAAGGAATGCTAATCCATGCACTGAAGTCCTTGATAAATATGAGGTAGTGTCATGAGATGGTGCATGAAACATCTCCTGAGAAGAGCTCCCAGGAT